GATTGAAGGGTGGGAGTCCATCGTGAACGCAACGGCAGAGAGAGTAGTGGGAAAGAAGGTGGTGCGATGTGGGGTATCGGTTAAGTGGTGGGATATCGAGCTGAAAGAAGAAATACGGGGAACTTAGAGAAGTCTTCAAGCAGTACCTGAGTGAGGCGTCTGAGGAGAGTTGGGAAAAGTACAGGGCCAAGAGAAAACATGTGAAAGGACTAGTGAAAAAGAAGAAAAAGTGTATTTGGGACGAAGTAGTGCAGAAGGCCAACGGAGGCCTGGAGGGAAACGTCAAGCAGATGTGGGAAGGGATTAGTGGAATGGTAAAAAAGACCGCGCAAGGGGGGGATACAGGGGTCGCAACTTGGCGAGGTGTGAACGGTGGATTAGTCAGCAGTGGGAAGGGAAAAAGGGAAGTTCTAGCAGGACACTACAAGAGACTTGGAGTGCCCTCGGAGAACGAAGCTTTTCACCAAGTGTTTAAGAAGGAGGTGGACGNACGAGTATACGCCAAGTAGATGGAAGGAAGGAGTGGTTGTGAACTTGTTAACAATGGAGGCAAGACTAACCCAGGAAACTACAGGGGGATCACACTGTTGAACACAGTAGGATACGTGCTCTGTAAGCTGCTAAACGATATGATAGTTTGAGTATTGGAGAAGGAACATAGCCTTATTGAGGGCCAGGCAGGTTTCCGCAAGAAGAGGGGGTGCGTAGACCACGTGTTCACGGTAGGGAGAATCATCCAAGGTAGAAAGAGGGCGGGAAAGCCGACGTACTGCTTCTTCCTGGACGTGAAAAAGGCATACGACACCGTGTGGAGAAATGGGTTGTGGAAACAACTGTCCAAATACGGGATCAAGGGGAAAATGTGGAGAGTGCTGAAGAAGATGACAGAGTGTACGAAAAGCGCGGTCATGCTAGACGGAGAACTGTCAAAATTCTTCGACATTGAGCAGGGGGTCCCACAAGGTTGCACGCTGTCCCCAACATTGTTCCAGGTGTTCATCAACGATCTGTTGGAAGTCGTAGAGGCAGTCCGGAAGGGAGTAAAAGTAGGGGACACGGAAACGTCGGTTTCAGGAATGCTGTTTGCGGATGATTTTGTCGGTATGTCGGACACCCCTGAGGGACTGCAACTGCAAATTGACGCGGCGAAGAAGTTTACTGATAAGTGGAGATTGTCTGCCAACGTTCAGAAGAGTGCCGTCATGGTATGCAACGAGAACAAGGAGGAACCAGTAGAACATAGATGGAAGTGGGGGATCGAGGAGATTGCAGTAGTGGACCAGTACACATACCTCGGAGTAGAGATCGCAAAAGACTGCTCGTGGAATGCACACATGTCCAAGGTAGCGGAAAAGGGCAAAGCACGAGCAGGGAAGCTGCACCCAATACTCGCAAACCGGCACCTCGATACACGCATCAAATTGACGGTTTTGAAGAGCGTAATCGTACCGCCGCTAGAGTACGCCGGAGAGGTATGGGAAGGAAACAAGACGGTAGTGAAATAAGTCGAGACGGCGCAGATGAAAGCAGCGAAAATCATGCTAGGATGCTCCAAGCGCACAAGTAATGC